TGCCCATGCCCAACGGCCCAAGACGGTTGCCCTGCCAGAAGAAAACGCCGCTGACAAGACGTGCTTCTCCAAGCTGGACTCAAAGTCCAACTCCAAGGACTGGATGCACAGAGCCTCTGCTTCGCCTGCAGCCGCGGGCTTTATGGAGCTTAAGCTAGCAAGCGGAGACGGCAGAGAGTGGTTGGAGAAGGCGGTGAAGCTCCACTCAAAGCCATCTTCGGCCGCTGCTGCATAAACCCCGACAGTTTAGACAACACCGACTTGTGGTGGTGCAGCTCTTTCAAGCTGCAGGACCCGCTCCACGCCCCGGGCGAACCTGAGCGGCGCCACCCTTGGTCTTTCACAACGGGGGCGGCCGCTACATCGCCACAATGGGCTCTTCTGTCTGCAGGGCGCCGCGCGAAGAGCTCGGCAAGAACAGCAACAACAACGGCGCCAAAAGAAGGCAGAGACTAAAGAAAGCAGTCCAAGGGGCCGCGATCAAGTAGGGCAACTGCAGCCACCTTAGCCTAAGTTCTCTGCAAGCGGAAAAGAAGTTCTGAGATAAGCTGGGAACCAACTCTCCGCCTTAAAGACGGCCACTTAAACACTGCGGCGTGGAAGCGGTGTGGGAGCAGCACTGCTACGACGGAGAAGTTGCTGCGACGCCACTGGTACAAACGCTCGGCCTTAAGCACATCCTTGCAAGGCCGCTTGCGCAGCACGTCGTTGGAGGCCGCTGGACCATCAGAGCGGCCGCAGGCTGGACGCGGCAACTTCTCCAAAGCCAGGCCCACACGCAAAGGCCGTTAAGATTGAGCAGTTGGCGGATCGAATAAGTATTGGCAAGAAAGCAAGAAAACAAGAGCTTAGAATCTTTTTTTTTGGTTTGGCCAGTCTACGTCCACATTGGCTTAGCCGCAGCGGCAAGTTGGAGCGGGTCCGAGGCGGAGCTCCCACGAGGAACTCCATCACAAGGTCAAAGGCCGCGGAGCCGGGCGGCGTAAGCGCCCACATCCGCTGCTCCAGGTTGCGCCAGTGGGCACAAGTTGTAAGCGTTGAGGCCGTAGACCTGTCGTTAAAGGGCAAAAAGGACTTTTTCTTAACTCCACGGTCTTGTGGGCGCCGGCTGCGCAGCTCAAGGCCGCTCTGCGCTTGCTGCCTTTCTCCAGCACTTTCTGCACTTAATGCCGGACGTTGGTTACCTTCTTGGGCACGCCGCGCTATTTCTTGCGTCGAGCTGGACTGAGAATGCTGTGCATCTTGAGCGCAGGCTGGAAATTGCTGTCCTGCTCCACCAGCAAAATGGCCTTGGCGCGCCCCGCATAGGCGTCTGGGCCGCAATGTTGCAGAAGTGGCACAGCGCCCCAAAATACCGCCCGGTGCCGTGGCAGCGATGGAGCTTATTCTCTGCGGCCTGAAGGTCGACACTTCCTGCAGTAAGTGGCGGCTCTGCGCTCCAGCTCCTTCCGCCGGGTTACGCTAACGTTGGAGCGCAGCACGTGAGGGGGCAAGCTCTGCAAAGGCCTTGCCCCTGTAGCGCAGCAAGCTTTTTCCGGGCCTGGGCAGCGGCGCTTTCCAAGTGCGCTTGCTACTCTTGACAGCGCTGGGCGGCGCGGTGGCGCTGCTACAAGGCCTTCGCGTAAAGCAGGCTAGCACTTTATTCACTTGTCTTCATGCAGCCGCCGCGTGGGTGCTGTCTGCTGGCCAGCGCCTAAGTTGTGGATCAAGCTGAGTGGCCGCTGTAAGAAGAAGCAGCACGGTGCGCTGGACAAGCCGTGCCGGCGCGCTGTTGGAGAACGTGGTAGTATCCAGCCCGTCCGCCCACACAAAGACCCCACCTGCCCGGCGTTGGAAGCTTGAAGGCGTCAACGCCTTCTCGACCCGCTCCAAGGCAGCGAGGGTTGCGCTCTTGGCCGCCAACTAGACCGGCGCCCGCTCACCGACTTTCTTGCTGACGAGCTGCTCCTCCACCTCATAGAGCTCCCTCTCGATCTGGGCCAGCGATGCGATGTCGCTCGTGCGAAGCGGCGCTGCCTCAGGGCCTCGCTTCTCGCGGAGCGCTTCCATCGCCTCCCAGCTCTCCTCCTTGCGCTCCTCGGCAGCCGCAGAGCAGCGAGCAGTGCGCTGGTTCAGGCGCTTGCGAAGCTTGAGCCGAAGCTCTTGGACCTGCTTCAGCATCTCCTTCCAGTCCTGGATGTCGACCTCCTCCGCCGCCGCCGGGAACCTGCCGGCGACCCTATCAGCTATCAGCCGCTCCAGCACGGGCGCTCCCCGAGTGAGCTCATCATGCAGGCGGTTCACCTCCTCCAAAGAGGCTCCCCGCTTCAGCGCATCGGCATCGACAGCGGCCTTCAGCAGAGGCCTCAGCTGCTCGCGGCGCTCCAGGATGTGGGTGGCCATTCTGAATTTTTTTGCTGAGCAAAAATCGGCTGCGGCGGCGGAAGAAACTACAGCGGACACTTGCGAGACGGTGGCTCCACACGCAGACCCGTGACCTCAAGACTCAAGCCGCACACGCCGCTCATCAGCCACAAGCTGCGCTCTCTCAGCCGAACGCGCGCGGCGCAGTGGGCCAGCTCTGCAGTCCGCAAACGTGCCGCCAGCGTTCCAGAAGCGCGCGTGGGCAGGCAGCTTGGCCTTCAGCATCCAATCGCCGCCGTCGAAGACGCGCTCGGACGCGGCCGCCAGCTGCTCGATCAGATCGGTCTCGGCCCGCTCCCAGAAGAGCCTCGTGCGGCCGTCGGTTGCGAAGCTCGCTCGGACGTTCTGGATCTCGAAGTCGGCGCTTAGCGTGGCTCCCGCCGGGTGCGCCCCGGCGTTCTCGGACCACAGCGCAGTCGTCGCGTCTGCGAACTCGATTTCTATCACCAGGTTCAGCTGCGGCGGCAATGGTGGCGCTGCGACGACATTAGCCACTACGGCCGCACCGTGGCCGTGCATGACCTGCTGAAGGGCCGCGAGTACAACCAGAACAAGGCCGTGGAGGCTTCGACGTGAACAACTCCCGGACGCCTCGCACGGCGCACAAGAGCGGCTACGCGGACGTGCTGCTGCGCCCTGGCCGTTGGCGAAGATCTGGATCTACAGGCTGGGTTCCGGAGTGGCCGGCGCCAGCGGGTTGGTGGCGTCCGTGTTTCTGGCTCTGAAGGCGATCTTGATCGTCTCGGGGTCTATGAATGAAGTGCCGCTGGTCAGCGGAATGCGGCAGCTGTCACGTAGTTGGTGTTGCTGGTTTTCAGCTTGTAGTCCAGACTCTGCATCAACTCGTCCTGTGCTCCGGCTGTGACTGCCTCCATGCTTCTTTACATGTAGCGCAACACGCATTTTCACTCGAAGGAGAGTCTAGGCCGCCTCGATGTCTCGGGCCAGCTGGTCTTACCTCGGCCGAGGCAGGCGGCTCTGGCGTGACTGTCCGGAGCTGCGAGAGCTTGCCCGGGAGTTCGCAGCGGCAACGGCTGGGTTGGCCGTGGGACTCGCAGGCGGCGCGGCCTACGGCTTGCGCGCGGCACGGGCTGGGTGCTGGAGAACACGCTCTTCCGGCCTCAGCAGGGCAGCGAGGACGCGCAGGACGTCCGGTCCGCCAACAACATGAACGACGCTCCTCCGCCCCAGCACTTCACGCTGCGCTCCGGCAGCAGCACTTCAGGCAGCCCCGCAAGCAGCCTCCTCCCAGTCTGGCTTCCGCGTCCACTCAACCTACCCACACGCCACGCCCCTTCTCCTGGAACCTGAACCCAGTGCTCTGCCTCAGTCCCGACGCTCTCTGCATGCTGGTGGGACCAAAGAGCACGACAGCACGCGCTGCAGGTGCTCCGCTCCTGGCAAATCCTGGCACGGGGCGGGGGGGGTGTCCGGGCCTCGCTAGGCCAAAGATCAGGGGGCCTGACAGATTGGCGAGTTGGGACCCAAACCTCAAAGATCAGTTGGCATTGATGGCCATGACAACGGAAGCAGCGAAGGCCCGGGCAGTATGCCTCGATGTCAAAACAAAGCCTGGCACGGGGAAGCGCGAAAACACGACCTTCAAAATCCAGGACCAAACCTGAAACACTGCTCAAAGACCGAGTTGACACCAATCCGCACTGCGCGTCAAGACTCAGGGTTTGGGATGCGCTAAAAAGAAGCAAACCGTGGCCATGGGAAAGATCAGCTTGTTCCCAACGCCCTGGAATCTGTGCGCAGCGGGGACAGAAGTGCAGTTTTAGATTTGCGTCCAATAAAGAACAATGCGTGGACTTGCTCCCCATTTGTTCGCTGGATACTTGCTCAAAAGCCCCATCCGCCATTCACCTGCGAGAGCTTGTTGACCAACTGCTTGCCCCGAGAAAGCCGAGAGAGAACTCGGCTGGTGAAATGGCGCACAGTCGGCAGAAAAAACACCAGCTTCAGCCATTGGCGCTTCATGACATGCTACCGCGATTCCTGGAAGTAATGACATTGCCGCTCCATGCGTTTCTCCCATGCTGTTGGCCCGCATTCTGCAATGATGCTCATTAGCACTGGCGCTGGTCGGCGTGATTTCTTGTCCACTGCTGCTCAACTTCCCTGATCGCCACCTTCAACAAATAGCATCAAACACCTGTGCACAACTTGGCTCAAAAAGATCAAACTGGCAAGCCACGAGAGCAATTCTTTCCCCCGCACTTCTTCAAACGGCTTGGTACTGCATCCGCGCGCTTTGGCACAGGGAGGAACGCCGCAGTGAAACAGCTGTTGACCAGCGCCGGCAACTGTTGCTGGTCCTGTACCCGTTGCAGGCATTCCCTGCTTGACTTGAACACCGTTGCCTGATGTTCAAAAGTGTGAACAGTTGCCTGCCTTACCCTTCAGGAGTCAAGCAAAGTCGCACTGCAACGAAACAACTGTGCCTGCGAACGCATGCTTTTGTCACTGTACGAGGTGAAACGTTGTGCGCCAGCATTGCCTCAGCCGAGAACAGTGACCACAGCCAGCAGTAGCCTGGCAACGATGCAAGTTCGCACGTGTGGAACACTGCTGGGTTGCTGAGGTGCCTCAAACTATGCGGCTCCAGCAGCTCCAGCTGGAATCGTGAATCCATAGCAGTCTGCCCTGACAGCTGGGCGACAGCACAACCCAAAATTGAAAGGCATCGGATCCAAGCGCTGGGCTCATCTGTCTCGCGCAGACTTGCTGACATCTTCTCTTCTTTCACCCAGCCGCCGTCCTGCAAAGTCCAGCTGAGAGACGGCAAGGGGGTGAGGCGTGGGGGATGGAACAAATGGGGGTGCGCTTTGACATGCAAAGCTCTCCTTCCGGCTGTAAACGTCGATCTTGGATGCAGCAATGGTCAACTCCTCTTCCGCTTTGATTGCCTGACAATCACTCAAACCCTCCATCTTTGTCATCGCCCTTCTGCAAACAGCTCGCAAGACAGTATGAGCGAAATTCGGCTTGAGCGCGAGGCCTTCTTCAAGTCATCCACCTGACATCCCCGCGAAGCATGAAGCGGCATTTCCGAAGGCAAAACAAAGCTGAAATAGATCCTTCGCAGGCGCAGCTGAGGCCGCCGCGTTTGCCAAAACTCCCTTAACTTGAAAGGGGTTGCCAATGACCTCGAAGTTCTTGCCGTCCTCGTAAGGCACACGCACTGCAATCCAGTTCACATCCATCCGTTTTACCGGTGGCTCCACAAACGCCTTTGATTTTGGAGCTAGGCGACAATTTGAGAGCTCTTCTGAGAAGGAAGTCGACAGCTGTTTTCAGAACGTGAATGCACGACAGCTGCTGGTAAGGTCCAGGCAGGGCTTCCCAGCTGACAGACCCACACTGCTGGGGGTCGTTGCAGGGCGGCACTGCCTTGCAGGCGGCAATCTGAGCAACGTGAGAAGTGCACCGGTTGGCTTTCACTGAACGTGGTACTGGTCGAGCCTTGGAAAATCTGCGATACATCCAACTAGAAAGGAACTGGCATTCACACTGAATCCAGGACAATGTGGAGGAGCAACTTTCTGGCGTTAGACACCGCAGAAGAACCTGACCTGGCTTTGCTTGCATCTACTCAAGGGCATGTCTGCTCACCAACGCCAGGAGACATGGACCAACGTGCAAATCCAAAGGCCAAACACCCTGAGCCCAAAGGGATGCTAACAGAGTAGAAAAGCTTGGCAATGGCACTTGTGAAAAGGGACCCAACGAACTGCCCTGATTGCAAGCATGTTGGTTGGCTTGGTTCCTTGCAACACTGCAACAACCTTTGGGAAAAGAAACTGAGCTGCAGATTGAAGCGAACAACATTGGAACACTTGCCTTTTGTGGCATCCGTTTATGGCATCCATCTTTGTCACATCCTTTTGTGGCAATATCCATGTTGCAAATCTTCATTTGGCTTCATGGACAAGCATGTGCGCCATGCGAAATTTCAATTGTGAGCTTTGACCAGCTTGTGGTGTTTCATGGGGCCAATGGGGGCCAGCAATGAAACTTCCAAGATTCGCTCTTCAAGAAACCAAAGGAGAGCAGCAGATGGGACTCTGATGGATTCGCACCCACACCTAGACCTGGAAGACATAGAACTACATTGCATGGCACCGGGGCAACGCAAAGAAAACGAATAATGCCTGTGTGGAAAAAACAATAGAAAGAGCTTGCCCCGACCGAAAATGGGACACCACTGTCAAGAACACTGACCGGCATTCACTGATGTTTGCTTGGCCCAATCCGGGCTCCCATCTCTTACAGAACTGCTCAAGAACAAGTCTGCCCACACTTAGGGAAAACGAGAGTTGCGGGTGAAGCCCCAAGCCCACCTTGTCCCAGAAGTTCATGAAGCACCTCAAGTCTCGTTGGTGGCAATGCTCGGCTCCATGTTCGCAGCAATGAACGCCGGACGGTGATGCAGCCTTCTGTCCATTGCATGATCACCTCCTGGAACCTCTCTGCGAGCGTGGCCAATTTTAAGGTTACGCCATGCAAATCTTCAATCCCTTCCAAGCTCCACTCCGACTTTGTGCGATTCAATTGGGCAACGAGGCCCATGGCGCCGCTGTGCTGCTTAAGAAATGCAATCACCATCTCGCAGGACTCATCGAACAACTTCCTAAAGCTTTCGAATTGAGGTTGCGTGGGCATGTGGAAGTAGCTTCGAGCACCAAAGTCATGCCAGGCCATCTTCCTTTCGCCCGTTAGGCTTGTTACCAGCAGAAGATTCCCGAGGTGGTTGTCATGCAAAAAGCCAAGAAAAGCCATCTTCTGCAGGTCCATGGTGTAGCCAGTCAGAAGGACCAGCAACTCCAAGACCGTCATTTCCGGGATCGCCACGCCAATGGGCCTTGCTCGAGGCATGACCTCCACTTCCAACTCAAAGGGGAGTGGCACTTTTTGGTGAAAGCGGCACTGTCCTGGGTGATCGCCCGGCTGGCGGACGCATAAGGGAAGGAGCGGCACCAATACCGTGTCGTTGAAACAATATGTGCACGATGCAGCAGGTCCCGCTATGTCAAACACCCACGCCATTGACCACCTGACTTTCTCACGCCACAACAGTTCGGCATGGCCGTCCCCCTTCCCATGGATCGGTCTGATTGGCCGCGATCTCCGCGCCGAGGTCAGTCCTGACAGGAATGCCATTTCCACAAATCTGTCTTCAGCAGGCAACTGAGCGATGTGTTGTTCGGGCAGACTTAATTCTTGACCATATAGGTGTCGCCGCAGCACTTCCAAAGCATCGACATGCTTCTCGGAGCGGGTGCCACCCACAAGTCGGACCCTCACCACAACATCGCCAATGCCTGGGCAACGTGCGAATGTGATCGTGTTCCCCGCACCGGCAGCTCCTTCGCCGAAGTCCACCTGACAGCTGAAATATGGCTGGAGGCTTTGGCAGGTGCCTTCGTCGCACTGGCCAGCGGCAGGCACGACAAGCAGCAGACTGAGAAGCACCAAATGGTTCCAAACCATGGCGCAAAAGTTGCTCTCAACCTAAAGCCTACACGATTTAGATGCTTTAGGTATTGGGGTACGAAGGTTTAGAGCATTCCGGGACCTACCATGCCGCTTGGATCTGCCATTGATGGTTGATGCATGCCCCTTGAAATCTAATCATTCCTCATGCAAGGCGAAGCTGCCCCCTGAGTATCACGGACAAATACGGAACTGACAGAAAAAGCGTTACGGATGTAGGCTTTGCTGCGCAACATCGGGCCCAGCGTGTTTTCAGCCACCGAGCACTACCTGCAAAACTTGCGGTGGCTAAACTGTGTTGCCGAGCATGAAGGCATGCTGGGTGCTGTTTCGAGAACACAGGGCGTGGCGAAACCCTCGTGCGACCCTCCTCCTCTTCGGCTTCTGGTGGCTGCGCATGCAGCAGCTCAACAAGCCGTCAACATTAAGGTACGCCCACCTTTTTCAAAGACTACGCCTGGGATGTTCAATTGCTTACATAAGCTAATCTCGACTCAACACTGGCACAAAGATGCATTTGGCACAGCAACGTCACAGAAACGATGAACAACATCACAGAAAAGATGAACAAGCGTCACAGAAACGATGAACAACATCACAAAAACGATTAACAGTACCACAGAAACGATGAACAAGCGTCACAGAAACAATGAGCAAGCGTCACAGAAACGATGAGCAAGCGTCACAGAAACCATGAACAAGCGTCACGGAAACCATGAACAATGTCACAGAAACGATGAACAATGGGCGGGGCGGGGCGGCACTGCCTTGTGGGCGACAACCCTATTGGTTGCAGGCAGCACTGCTCTTGCAACTGACAATCCATGCATTGAATGAAAAAACGGACATATCCCACCCCAAAAGAGCGGACAAAACACCAGACCGACAAAACGCAGTGCAAAACCAGTGCAAGGGTCTGGTCTCAGCTTTTGGAGGGGAGCATTTGTTTTTTCCCCGGCTCAAATGAGAAGAGCTCCAAGTCGGCTTGCCCCCGGCCGTCCTGATGGAAAGATGTTCTTGAGCTTGTCGGCAATCTTGAGGCGCATGTGGTAGGAAGACGGAATGACTGCCCACTCACAGGACGTGTTTGTGAAGATGTCGGGCAAACCGAAGGTGATGGCACCCTCCTTAATCACACCCCCGACATTCTCCTCCGCTATCATCCTCGCACCCTTGTCTGTCTTGACATTTCGCACGGGCGAAAAGCCTTGTTTCGCCATGTTCTCGAGGTGCGCCCTCGCCTCCGGATCTTCCACACAGGATGGTAAGCCAGGGCAGTCCACAACTGCAAATGGGTTGAAGTTATCCTTCTTCTCTACGAGGCTATCCAAAGCCTGCTTGGTGGTGTAGATGTCACCGCCAAAATACGTGTAAAATATCTTTGCCAAGTTTTCATCCATGCCCCAGTCATGTTGCAGCATCTTCAGCATGTCGTACTTTGGCACCTCGCCAATCACAATCACCCTGCCAATGTCCCTGAGGTCCAATCCTGTTGCCTGCAGGCGGAAAGGGTA